TTCCAATTCCTAGCCCCACCCTACCCCCACTTGTTACAAATGGATTTCACTTAAGGGAGAGCACCAAGAGAGCTAGAGAAGAAGAGCTCTAGTTATCAAAGTATTGCTTTGGAGATCTCTACTTATCCACCTGGACTTTTTCTCTTTCCACAAGAGCACAGAGAGGTGAAGTAACTTGTCTCAGTCACACAGCTAGATAGTAACAAACAGCAGCGGTGCTCTGCTACCAAGTAGCAAACTTGACTGTCTCCAGTTCGCCCACGCCTCCACTTTGCCAGCCCTTCCTTCCCATCAGGCGCTGACTGCCTGCAGTCCCTGTACCTCGCCACCCTCACTCCCCAGGCTCTCACCCAACCATTAACATCACCTGACTCTGCAGGAATCTATCCATTTCTTCTTGCGTTCTAACAGGTTATCTGCTGGACACCCTCCCCAGTGCTTTCGGGACACAGCTAGTCACTCAAAATAATTACTCTGACATCTATTTGTGTGGCATCACCTATGATTTCTAGGTGAGGAAGAAAAGAAGAATTTTCCAGGTGGGAAAACAAAGTTTCCAGGCACTTAGTAGGAAAGAGCACTAGAAGGGGACTCAGTTGGTCTGGATCACAGACCTTTGCTCCCTCACAGGCACTCGAGGTTGAGCAGTCACTTCATTCTTCATTCCACCGCACTCAGTTTACTCAGCTATAAATGTGAATGGCAAATACACATACCTTTCTCTTCTGGGGTGATTGTGAGGATAATTTGACAAACCCAACGGGACAGCTATTTTTATTCCATATCTTAGGGCCTTTGCATTGGCTGATCCCTCTTCCTGAACGTCCTCCCAGACAGCACTCTGCTGACTCCCCACCCTCCTCCAAATCTTAGTTCAAACGCTTCCTTCTTAATGAAGCCTCCCGAGCACTCGATGAAACCTCACTCCTTTATCCTGCTCCACCTTCTTCTGTTTCCAAAGCACTTTATCACTTTTTAACATACTACACAATTTACTTATGCTCATTGTTTATTGTTTTTCTCTTCTGCTACAATGTAAACTCTGCAAGGGCAGGGACCTGTGTCTGCTTGTTCTGTTCTGATGTGTCCCACGCCTGCTGGCCAAGGCGGGGCTCAGTGGATGCTTGCTGATTAACTGAGTGCCCCTACCCACTGCCTGAACCTCCCTCTCCTCCAGGTCTCTTGCTGCTCCTCTGATCACAGGCACTGAAAATGCTTCCTGTCACTGTCAGTGAGGCTGAATGCAGGGAAGCTGTGGCATCAGCTATTATAACACTTTGGACCAGATCGGTGGAACAGAATCTGAAAAAATGAAACATTCCCGACTTCTCCCTTCAATTTTCTCTTCACTGAAGCCTTGCCCTGTCCGGCCCTCTCTTCTTCCTCTCTCTCTCATCCCCCTCCCCAACAGGTGATCTGCTGTTCTTTGTTCTTCTCCTTTACCCCTTTGGCCTCTATTTTGTGGCTGCTTTCTCTGTGAGCTTTTCTTTGCCTTTCTGAGTAGTGAGAGAGGAAGTGGCTGTCTGAGCACTGGGGTTGGAGTCCCAGAGGCACCAAGCCCAAGTCGAGTGTTGAAGGTAGATGTGGTATGTAGAAGCACCCTAGGTAAGGACACCTCAGCCGAGACCTCGTCCTTGTGTCCCGAAATGCTCAGAGAGACCAAGAAAGGTAAGGACTGGCAGGTCCGCAGTGCGCTCGTATACATGCAACAGCTCCTGGCCCGTGTACCCTGGGAGCTCCTGTGCGGAGGAGGCAGGAGGAAGAGCAGAAGCTCTGTAGCAGCAGCTTTTTTCCCGAAGCAAACTTTTGTAGGTACTGTTTAGGCTGCCTAGGTAAAGACTTTGCTGAATTTGCCTGTGCCAGAGCAGAGGACACTACCTTGTCTCCCAAACCCACCTCACCCCACCTGCCCACTGCACTTCAGGGGTATCTCACTCCTCCTAAGGTGGGGCAGGCAGTGGGTCCAGGTGGGGAGCACAGGTTTAGGGACTTCACGCTGATGCAGAGGTTGCAGGAGGAAGGCGGATGGGAAGGAAACTGATTTGCCTGGCACCTCTAGCAATTCTGAAGGACCATATCAACATGCAGGGCTGTCTGAGGCCTGATACTCAGAGTGGCTCCATGAACCAGTAGCATCAGCATCACCGGGAACTTACTAAACTTGCAGATTCCTGGGCTCCATTCTGACCTTCACGCTAGAATCTGTACTTTAAGAAGATCCCAGGTGATTTGTAGATACTCTAAAATCTGATAAGCATTAGTCTAGATAATCTGAATTTAGCTAATTGCTCTATTCACAAATGAAATAGTCAACGAATTTTAGAGGTTTTTTTTTTTTGTTATGGTCTCTAAGCTATAAGGAAAACCAAATATATATACACATATATATACATACACACATATACTTTTAACATTTTTTATAAACTTTGAAGACAAAGGTTTAGCACAGTATACTTTTAAGCTGAACTTTTATTTCCTCCCTTTTGAAATTCTTATTCAGATTTTGACTGTGGAGAAAAGTATAATGAGACTATCAGTAGAGGCATTTAATAGCCTACTTAGTTCTAACATTCTTATAATTCCACCTATATTCAGTAGATGGTATTATTTCTTATGTAAATCATAGTGCACGTTTATTGAGAGCTATGTTTTAAGTGCTTTAAAAGTTTGTATTAATATAATCTCATGTATCCTATGAGAAGGATACTGTTATCGTCCCCTGTTTTACAGATGAGGACACCATAGCTTAAGGGCATTCAAATAAATTGCCCAAAGTTGCACAGTATAGAGAGGCAGCATTTGAACCTGGACAGTCTTGTGCCAGAGCTTGTGTTCAACTCTGACAGCATGTGCCCTGAGCATGCTGGTCTCCCCAATTAAGCAGCTGCCTGAGGTCAGAGGCTGCTTTTCTCTACAGAGCCTCAATAACGCTGCTTGCAGTGGCATTCAATGTTGCTGATAACCTCCAAAGGGCAGTGGCAGGGGAATAATGCTGACAGAAAAGACTATGAATAAAAAGGTACATCGTGAGGATATTAAAATATCCTCATTCATTATTTATAACAAAAATGGGAACCTTAAATATGGTAATAACCTGCACTTAGATATCAAATGGGACATAGATTTCAAAATCATCAAGGTTACGGGTTTCACTCCATGGATAATGCTGCTTGGTTAATGAGTATACCACCCTTCCTGATGAAAGCACCAAAGAGACCATACATCACATTCCTAGGGGAGACCACAGCAATGTTTCCTGTGGAAATGATTCTTACTCCCCAAAACCTTAAATGTGTTTAAAATGTAACTTTTACAGGGGGAAAAAAAAGACTCGCCTCTGAATATCACTTGAACTTACCCAATCTTTAAAAAGTATACACAGATACTAGTCTTTTACAGTTGTTCAATATTCAGTATTACTCAATAACAGCCCCTCCGTACCAATTTTTTTCCAGGTAAGATTTGGTCCCTTTAAGGGAAATCATTAGAAATGAACTACAGGATAGGCAAGAAGGAGGCTGCCCAGCAAGTGCCCACACCCACAGTCATCCACCCAGAAGACACTAGCACCCGGTCTGCAGACAAGCTACTCATTCCAAAGCAAGATATATTTGATAACAAATAAGCCACTTGAAAATATTACTGTCCAAGATGGCGCCATTTAAGGGCCTGGGAGTCCATGGAATTAGTCTAGTTTGGCAACAGTATGGATTCTGAAATGCCTAATGAGGTTGCAATGGTGACTGAAGGCTTTCCCACACTCATCACACTCATATGGTCTCTCTCCAGTGTGGCTTCTCTGATGTTTTATAAGGAGTGTTCGCCTACTGAAGCTTTTAGTGCACTGACTACACTGATAAGGTTTCTCACCAGTGTGGATTCGGAGATGCTGGAAAAGCCCTGCATTCTGACTGAAGGCTTTCCCACACTCGTTACACCGATAGCGCTTCTCTCCAGTGTGAATCCTCTGATGCTGAACAAGGTATGAGCTCAGGCGGAAGGCTTTCCCACACTCTTCGCATTCATATGGTTTTTCCCCTGTGTGGATTCTTCTGTGTCTAATGAGGCCATTGCTGGCACTGAAGGCTTTCCCACACTCCTTACATTGATAGGGTTTCTCTCCTGTGTGGCTCCGCTGATGTTCAATCAGGCCTGACCTCTGGCTGAAGGTCTTCCCACATTCTTCACATTCGTATGGCTTCTCCCCAGTGTGGATTCTCTGGTGCTGAATGAGGACTGAACTCTGAGTAAAGCTTTTCCCACATTCATTGCACCTGTGACGTCTCTCTCCAGTGGGGTGTCCCCTCTGCTTTTCTACCCTGCTGTCACGTTTACAAGTTTCTTTACACTTAGAATCCAGAGGAACATCTCTCTGGAGTCTGCTATTCCCAAAATGTTCCATTTCTTTTAAGACTTCCTGCTTTGAGGCCAATGCCTGGTTTTCAGGTACAGCTTCACCATCTGGAATAATGAATGGGCCAGACATCATCATCTCTTTTCTTTACGAAAGAGTACAACCATGGGCTGGGGAACATGAAGATCCATAGCAAACACACATGTTCTAGGAATGCAAAATTGGCAGTGTAAGGTAAAGAGGGGCTAAACAGGGATACTGAGGCCAGCAGACGAAGGGATCGTCAGCACTGCTGAAATGGCTGGAGGGGGTCACTCAGAGAAGGCGAGGCTCCCCAACACGATGTATGAAAGTAGGTACTATAGAGTGCTTACTACAAAGCAGGCACTGTTCTAAGTGTTTTACATTTATTAACTTATTAAATCCTCAAATGACTCCATGACTGAGGTACTATGATGATCTCCATATTATATAATCATAAACTGAAGGCACAAAGAGGTTATCTGACCTGCCCAATGTCACAGAGCTACTAAGTAGCAGTGTTTAAATTCCATCCCAGCTAATTTGGCCCCAGATCCACAGTCTTAACTATTACCCTATACAGAGCCACCAGAGATCCCCTGAATGGACCCGTCAAAGTCCTTACCTTGTTCTCCAAATTGGTGGGGACCAAAAGATTCACATTTGAGCTGCGTCACCATGGACTGAAGCCGGATGGCTGCTGATTCCTGCTTGGACTTCAGATTCACCATATCCCCTGAGAGCACTTCAGAATGTCCACGTTGGTAATCTGGGGCCTGAAGGTAGGTATATTTGGATTCACAAGAGAAGCACTACAGGAGCTCAGGCTAATACTCAATGAAAGAGACCATATGAAATATTTTGCAGAGAAATGGCAGAGGGGGAGGCCCAGAGTTTTAATTCCAGACCCAAGAGCAGAAGGGGGAGAACAAGAGTGACCCAAGGGATGTGGTGGTTTAAAATATGTTCACAAGTTCTTTGAGACTCCTTCCTTTAAAAGGTGGAGCCTAATTCTCCTCCCCTTGAGTGTGAGCTGTGCTTAATAGCTCATTTCTACTGAATAGAATGTGTGGCAGAAGTGATGGTATGTAACTTCTGAGCCTAAGTCATAAAGAGTATTGTGGCTTCATCCTTATTCTCTCTCTTTCTCTGTCTCCTTCTTAGGGAAGCCAGCTGACATGTTGTGAGGACACTCAATAAGCCCTAAGCAGAAACCCATACGGCTAACAACTAAGAGCTCCTGCCAACAGCCAGTGAGGAACTGAGGGCCCCTGACCAACAACCATGGGAGGGAGCCATTTTGGAAGTGGAGCCACCAGCCCCAGTCAGATCTTCAGATGACTGTAGTCCTGGCTGATGTCTTTACTGCAACCTCATGAGAGATCCTCCTAAGTAGCCCCTCAGATCATGACTCACACAAACTGTGAGATAATGTTTGTCTTTTTAAGCCATTAAGGCTTCGGGGTAATTTGTTACACAGCAATGGAAAACTAGTACATGTGGCTACAGCCAACCAACCTGGGTTACCAACTTCACCCTTCATTTAGTAATCAGTGTCTAGGAGCCCATCTTCCTCCTCTCACCTGGTTCTCTGGTTCACTAAGCTCTCGCTCCAGATCTTCAACCACAGCCACTGCCTCCTCCCCATTCTCAGGATGGTGTTCTCGCACCCAGGACTGGAGCTCCTCAGGCAGGATGGTCAGAAACTGCTCCAGCACTAGTAGCTCCAGGATTTGCTCCTTGGTATGGGTGTCTGGCCTCAGCCACTGATGACAGAGCTGCCGGAGCCGGCTCAGTGCTTCTCGGGGACCAGGAGTCTCTTGGTAACAAAAGTGCCTAAAAAGTTGGCGGGAGGCTTCCTGGCCAGAAAAGCTATTATCTTCAAGGTAGGTTTCTTGGTCCCACATAGGGTCTTCCTCCACCTTCACAATCTTAAGGCCATCCTGTTCTTCTGTTGAAGTCATTCTGGGATTAATTTAGAAGGCTCACTCCAGCTTGGGGCAAAGGGTAACTGATTTTAGATTCCCTGACTTAATCTTCTTTAGAAGGATACACCTGATGATAAAACAGTATGTATTAATGGAAAGAAAAAAGTAGTGGGGAAAAAAACCAAATATAGGAATGATGAATATTATGCTATCATTTATCTTAATAATAAGTATATATAGGATTTTACTTATATTATGTATAGAAACTGGAAAAATGGGTATGGCAGAATATATTAATGGCCCAAATTCTTTACCCTTCCCTGTTGCCATGTACTCTGCAGTGCCCTCCCACTGTGATTCTGGGCTCAATCATGTGACTTGATTTGGCCAATGTGATACTAGCAAGGGTGATACAAGCAGAAACTTGAAAAGTACTTGTGATTGAGCTTGCTTGCCCTTGCCCTCTAAACTGCTAGCAGGAGAATATGCTGACTTTCAGATGATCACAGACATGCAGGACAGAGGCAAATCACCCCAGTGGGGCAGATGGACCATCCTAGGTCAGCTAACAGCCAGCTGACCCCCAGACATGTGAGTGAGCCTAGCCAAGATCTGCAGAGCTGCTTGCTGGACAAACAGCTGACTGCAGATATAAAAGTAAGCCCTGCCCAGATCAGCTTAACCCTATAGATTCAGTGCCAAATAAATGTTTACTGCTGCATACCACCAAAATGTTGTGGTTGTTATACCACATTATTATGGCAATGAAAAACTGATATAGAAGGGTGGCCTCTGGGGAGGGAACTAGGGAACTGCAGAAGAAGAGACAAAGGGAAATTTACTTTTCATGGAATACCTGCTGTACTTTTTCCGATTTTTGTACCATTTGAAATAATAGTGCTTATTCCAAGAAAATAAATAAACAAATGAATAAATAAATAGTAGTGATTTAAAAGCCTCATAGTTTTAGGTGAAGAACAGGACATACAAAACTAGCTATAAGAGCAAATGATGAGAGCTATAATAGAGGCTTCAACTAAGTATTCTGGGAGCAAAGAGTAGGAAAAAAGTAAGTCTGACTGGGTATGGAGCAGTGGAAGAATGTGGCTTAGCAGCAAGTACATTTGAATCAGGCCTAAAATAATGAACAGGAATTTGTCAGCCAGAGAAAGGGCAGTGGGCGGGGATTCAACATCAGACGCCAAGCAAACAACACAACCAAAAATATTTAAGGTTACACTGTATAGTGTCTCTAAAGACCGGCAGGGCTGAACTGGTGGCTGAACTCTAGAGTGTCGGGTGGGGATGGAAAATGGGTGTAAACACATGAGGCTGGAAAGATGCATTGCACTGGAATAGAAAACAGCCTTGAACTCTAGGCTAAGATGTTTAGACTATATTATATGGAAAACCAAGGGGTATCAAGGTTTTTATTTCATTGTCATCATGTTAGATCTGTATTTTAAAGGAATACTGAGTAAAATTCAGGAAGGAAATGGCAGGAAGATGTTGTAGGGTGGTGGCAGATTAAGTTGAGATGCTTTATGGTGGTTACACTGATATAATGCTTACTTTAGTGATGGAATTTAAGTTTTATATATGACTTTAGCCCTATGTTAATAGGATTATTAAGGTCTGAGAGAATTCAGAAGTTCTTCGGTTATACTTTATTGATGGAAAATGTATTTATTCCATTCATTCAAATACTGTGTGCCCACCAGATGCCTGGCACAGTGTAGGCACTGAGGTCAAAGCAGTGAGAGGAAACAGACATGGTCTTTGCCTTTATGGTATTTACAGTGGGAGAGACAGACTTTAGTACAATATTTACATAAAATTATGTCACAGCATTGAGAATATGAAGAATTACAAAGATTGTGGGACTTATTCTTTGTCAATGTCCAGGGCCAAATGTATTTTTTTTACACCTTACTGCAGCATCTGGGTATCAGGTTTGTTGAGTCTTCAGTCCAGGACAACCATAAGTTTGAGAATTTCTAACTATGAAGTTGCATTAGATTCCATTATTATTAAAAATGTGGTTTCCCACATTTTTAGGTTAGGTTTACAGGCAAAAATTGTTCTACTGATATGGGTTCTGCACCTTAATGCTATTGAGAAACCATGGAGATCATTTTTTTTTAACTTGAGCACCACAGGCAATCCCTCACATACCCAAACAGGTGGGGCAGCCTCTCTATCTCTGTGTTGTTCTCCCCACAGTTGGTGGACTTAGGACTTACCTCCTGATCTTGTGCCACCGTGAACTCTGTCTTTATCCCTAATGCCTAGCATGGTGCTGGCCCACTGTCAGTGCTCCATAGATGTTTTCTGGATAAATAAACAAACTCTTCCTTTCTACCTCCCTTTTCATTTCATCAAGCCATGGCAAGGACAGGGAAGGGAAAATGCCCTCTTTCTCTTCTCCCTCATGCCACCCCTGCTCCCAGGATCTGTATGTGTTACCCGGTGTTCCCAGATAGTCCCCCACGTGTTCCTGTCTCCTCTCTCAACCATGCCCCAACCTGCTACAGATCCCAGATACCTCTTCTAACAAAATGCGCAGGAGACTTACAAATCTGGACTTGCCACAAAATTGTGGATGAATCTTTCTTCAATGTTTTGTTTACCTAATTTATTCAATTATGTGCCCTGATTTATTCAATTGTTTGCAATTTGATGTCACCTTATGTCCTAGCAGGGAGCAAGTACTTGATACACATCTGATGAACTGAAGGGAATGAGTTCTCTAAAATCACCTTTAGAAACACTGCATGATAGCAAATAATGTTTAAATCATGTGGCCTCTCTAAAGTGGGACTGACCATAGCACCCCTATTATAGGGCTGTTGTGATGATTATATAAGGTAATGCATATAAAAAGATTAGCACAGTATCTGGCCCATAGCAATTGCTAAATAAATATTAATTACCAGGTATTATTAGCAAAGCAGTATTAGTAAGTTGAATACCCTCTTTTTACAGAAGAAATAGCCCTAACAAAATAAAACAATGAATTTATAGGCCAATATTCAGCAGACAGTTGAAAATCCTGGAAGAAATATTCAAGAAAGGCCAGGGCAGACAATGGCCAGTAGTGACCTTCCAGATATGTGCTAAAGCTCACCTCTAGATCCCAAAGGGGCATCCACCTGAACATCCCAACCGGCTCAAAAGCAATACATTGAAGATTGGACTTAGATTTCCAGGGCAACATGGTACAGCCAGTTCATGCTTAATTACCAATTGCCTCCAAACATTAGGCATTGTGAGATGATACATAAAAAGAGATAAAGAGAAAGACATGGCCAGCCACAAATACAAGATAAAAATCTCAGTGGACCAGAAATTGAAACACAGACTAGCTAAGGGAGTTAAGGCTGAGGGCTAATGGTCTAGAAGCAGTCAGGTTCAGGCTAGAATTCAATTCTTGGGAGATTAAAGAAACTCAAGGTGGTGTGTCTCAGACTGTAGGGAACCAGGCTCACTTTCTAATGCCAGAGGCATCAGTGGACATTCACACTCATAAAAAGGGGGCAGAAAAAAAGACTGTAGGCTGCTGACTTGGGCTATGACTTTATCAGAAGCTACTGGCCCAGGAGCCAAGGGACAAGACCAACCTCATCTGCAGAAACTTAGCCCAGAAGCTGCTGGCCCCATACTAGGTCTGCCCACCCTAATAACTCCCTAGGGTAGCAACACTCAAGCACTGGTTATAAGACCCAGAAAGGGTCTTGGATATAATGCTGAAGGAAGAAGAGAGAGAAATCTACAACAGAAAGCCTTGCATACAAAATAACTCTACAAACTAAATTCCAAAACACACAAAGAACTCTAACCCTAAGAAAACCAATCAGCAATCAGAATAGAAATTCACTTGAGATGAAATTTATTTTATAGTCCAAGGAATTTTTAAAATAAGTGATTCTGAGAAATACAGGAGATAATGAAACTAAAACAGGTGAAAACGCAACATCAAGCAGCTATAAAAAGAATTAGAAATTTTAGAATAAAAAAAATTTTTGACATTTAAAATGCATTAGAGGATAAACAACAGACACAGCTCAAGAATAACAGTGATTTTTTTTTTTTTTTTAATTTTATTTTTTCTTTTTTCTCCCCAAAGCTCCCCGGTACATAGTTGCATATTCTTCGTTGTGGGTCCTTCTAGTTGTGGCATGTGGGATGCTGCCTCAGCGTGGTTTGATCAGCAGTGCCATGTCCGTGCCCAGGATTTGAACCAACAAAACACTGGGCTGCCTGCAGCGGAGCGCGCGAACTTAACCACTCGGCCACGGAGCCAGCCCCAAGAATAACAGTGATTTTTAAGACAATATTGAAGATTTCACTCTGAATGCAGCAAGAAATGAAAAATATGAAAGAGTAGTTAAGATAGAGCCTATATTAAGAGAATACAACATTAACATAATACGAGATTCAGAGGATGAGAATGTAATGAATGGCTGATAAATAATAGTTGATGAGGAAAAAAGTTAAGAATATTCCAGAAATGAAGGCATGGCTTCTCAGATCCAGAGTGCACATGTAGATATAATAAGGTGAAGCTGCAGCCTGCTGAGGATAAAGGGACAATCTTAAAAGCTACCAGAGGAGAGACACATTACCTACAAAGGAAACACAGCATATTGCTCATTAACAAAAATGGGGTTCAGAATGCAATCAGAGTGGTGGAAATGACCGTCAACAGAATTGACCCCCAGCCAAATACAATTAAATAGGGAGAGCAAAATAAAGTCATTTACCACCTACTTCCTAAAAAAGTAAAGGATGTAGTCCAGGAAACAAAGGTGAACTCAGCGAGGAGGTGTGAAATAGAAGAAACAACATATGCCCAAGAACTGACAAAATATGAAAATAAATTTAAATGATTATGGCCAAAAAACCCCCTATAAATTAACATATTCACTCATGTGTAAAATGATGTATATAAAAGGTTATTTACTATATGACTGTGACAGTAAAAGGTTGGAAACAACCTAAATGTCCACTAAAATGGGACTGGTTAAATAAATTACAGTCATGTGCCACATAATGACGTTTCGATTAATGACGGACCACATACATGACGGTGATCCCATAAGATTAGTACTATATAGAGTAGGTGTGTAGTAGGCTACACCATGTAGGTTTGTGTAAGTGACTCTATGATGTTCACACAATGACGAAATTGCCTGATGACACATTTCTCAGAACATACCCCCGTCGTTAAGCAACGCATGACTGCACAGTAATCCATATATTGTACTACTATGCAACTTAAAAAAATGAGGAAGCTCATTAGGCACAGACATGAAAGGTGTGTCAAGATATATTTAAGTGAAAAAGGCAAAGTGAAGAACCAGAGTGAATAACATACAATTAGTTGTATAAAAAAAGGAAAAAAGAATATATATCTTTTCTATTTGGATACCTGAGAAACACTATTAGCCTCTAGGGGTGGGAAATGAGTGGCTGGGGGCAGGGATGATATGGAATGTTTCAACGGGTAACCTTTATTACATTTTTTATGTGAGAATATTTTACTATACAAAAGGGAGGGATATGAGACTAAAAATTCTAACATATAATAACAAGATGTAGTGGACGTTCAGTAAATGTTAGTGTATTAAAGCCCTTGTTGTAAGGAGAATAGAAATACTTAACAATGAGAGACTTCGTTAAAAAAATTCTAAAGTACACACATATCGTATAATTTAAGGGTAAATTGGCAATGATATGGACCAAATGGAACTCTCCTGCATTAATACTGATAGAACTCTCTTAAAGCTTGAGAAGGAAAAAAGTTCCCTCACTCCTAGGAAAAGACTGATTGTTCTGTGCTATGGTACCAAGTAGCACAGAACCGGGCTGTTCAATCACGCAACAGGTCACATCAGAGAACATGTTTTTGCAAGTCAGTCAATTAGTGACAAGCCATAGCTTTTGAAAATGAGCCAATCCTAATGACTCATTTCAATAAACACAGCTCTAAGTGCCAACTAATCAACAACAGTTTGTCCCATAAAACCACCCTTCCACAGATAGTGCCAGCCCACTTAACCCCACAAAGATCCAGCAATCACTGAACTCCGCTTCTCAAAACCCCTATACAAGACCAGCAATCCCTTCCGTTCAGGACTGTGCCTAGGCAGCATACCTCTGTAGCTGTCTTTTCATTTCAGATATTTGGTGATGGTCTCATCAGTCTTTGACAAGCTGAACACACATGTACCCCATGACCCAGTAATTCCACTCCTGAATATACACCCTAAAGAAACAAGGGCTTATGTCTGCTAAAGGCCAGAAATAGAGGAATGTTCAGAGCAACTTTATTCATAATAGCTCCAGACTAGAAACAACCCAAACATCCATCAACTGCAGAATAAACTAACTAGTGGTATTGTGGTGGGCAGAAGTCTAAGACTGCCCCATGACCTCCATGCTCTAGTGCTGCTCTTATGATTGTTGGCTTACATGCCAAAAGGTGTAATGAACATGTAATTACGGTCACTAGTTAGTTGACCTTATGATAGGGAGATATCTGAGTGGGCCTAACCCACTAACATAATCCTTTTAAAAGCAGAGAGTTTTCTCTGGTTGGCAGCGGAAGAGGAAGTGGGAGATTTGAAGCATGAGAAGGATCTGATGCACAACTGCTGGCTTGCCCATAATGGAGGGAGCCACATATAAAGGAACGCAGGCAGCCTCTGGAAACTGAGACCAGGCCCTCGATGGCAGCCAGCAAGCAAAGGAGGACCTCAGTCCTACCAGGGACTTCAGTCCTACAATCACAAGAAAGTGAATTCTGCCAATGGTTTAAGACACTTTATTTTTTAAATATAGTGGATAAATTTGGTGCCGTTTATATTAACCATTCAAAGTTTTCGTATTTGATTTCTTCTGAAGTCCTAGTTCCTGGCTGTGTTACAGATAGATGTTGTTGCCATTTATTTACTCATTTTTCTCAATAAATGTTCACTGAGCACATACAATATACCAGGCACTTTGCTAGGCACTAGAGATACAATGGTGAAAAAGACAGAACCAGGCCCTGTTTTGCTGGAGCTTACATTCTAATGGGTAAGACAAACCAAAAATAATAACAATGATAACAAAAGTAAGGAGGCAAATAAAATAATTACCAGGTGTGATAAGTACTATAGGAAAATAAACTAGGCACTGAGTTATCAAATAAATGGAGGCCCTATTAAGATAGGGTGGTGAGAGGTGAGATAACATTTAAGCTGAGCCCTTAAGAGTAAAAAGGAGTGAGCCACAAGAGTAGAGGTGGAGGACAGGAAGAGCACTTGAGACCGTTCAAAGGCCCTGAGGCAGGGCATGGTGTGGTCAAAGAAATGAAAGGAAGCTGGAGTGGCTACAGCCAAGTGAGAGCAGAGTGGCAAAAAATTAAGTTGTAAGACAAGCCAAATCATGTAGGGCATGAGTTTGGATTTTATTCTAAGTGCAATGGAAAGCCACTAAAGGCTTTTAAGAAGGGAAGTGACAGGACTGGATTTATGTTTGAAGCAGCTCTGTTACCAGATAGTGAACAAGCTGAGGGAATGAAGTTGGAAGCAAGAGTGGAAGCAGAAAAGGCAAGAGTTGAATGAAGAGTGGGGGTGGAGGCTATTGCATTAGATCCGGCAAGACTTCCGCTTAGATATGTCACTGTACTCTTCAAATTAATTTAACTTTGAAAAATACATACAACTGAAAGCCTAACCTTTGTTTGGAAAACAAAGTCTTTGGACAGATGTTTATGGAGCTGTGCTAAGAGCTGGGGATACACAGGAGGTTACAGCTCATGGGGATAGAATCACAAAAGGATGAAATAAAAGTTATAATCTTGGAGGTGTGTACAAGGCATACTTCTGGAGGAAGTAGGAGAGCTCAGCCTAAATTCATATTCAGTTTCTCTGCACTACCTGTAACCCACAAAGGAAGTCACTTCACAAATATTTACTAAGTGCCTATTATGTGTCAGGCAGCACACACACGATAAAAGAGTGATAAAATTGCAGAATTCAATCACACGTCCTCATCTTCCTTAACTGAACTAAAAACATGGCGGAAAGAGCATAAAAGAACATTTTTTCTTATTAGCTTCAGCGTGTTAGCAACAGCAAGAGAGAGAGAATGAAAATCATAAAACACCTGTGTTGTAAAGTAAATCCCAAAGGACAACCGACAACAATGACAAGAAAATAGAGGAACAACTTAAATACCATGAGGGGACAAACAAATTCAGAAATGGGAACTCTCTACAGGAGGACTGGCAAGTCTCCCCTTCAACAAGGCAGTGGGATGGGGGGAAGGGAGGAGCAGAGCAGGGCAGTTTTAAATGAAAAGAGACTTAACCATATGCAACGAATGGTCTTTAATTGAATCCTAGGTGGTACAAACCAATTGCAAAAAACATTTGTAGGACAACTAAGGGAAATTTGATATATGAACTAGGTGTTAGGCGATATGAGGGAATGCTCCTACATTTAGTTGGGTGTGTTAATGATATTGTGGTTATGATCTGCGTATGTAAAATGCCCTTAACTTTTAGAGATGCACATATGGAACTATTTATGGGGGACAAGTCATGACGCTTGTAATGTGTTTTCAAATATTTAAAGAAAAAAATAGATGCTACAAATACCGCTTAATGTTAGCACTTGTTGAATGAAGGTGATGGGTATACAGGGAGTGGGGCTCTGACAGAGGGAGAGACCCGCAGTCGCACGCCCCTCCTCCACCTCCTGTCCTCCCGGGCTGTCACAAAGCCCCGCCCCCTCCACGGGTCTCTCCCAGGACCTCGGCAGGGGCAGGGGCGGGACCTCCTCCTACTCCACAAGCTTCACGCCTGTGAACAGGTCTAGGCGACTGCGAGAGCGTGTCGGAGGCCACGCTAGCACAACCATCCCCTCCCGCCGACTCCAAAACAGGGACCTTAAATCTTCCGGGACCCGAGGGGTCGGGACGAGCGGCGCGAGACTCACCTTCGGGGCCTGGGAAGCGCCGGCTGTGAGGCGGAGCAGCGGTGCCCGGCAACCGACGAACCACAAAGGCCGGAAGTGCGTCAGCCGCTCTGAGTCCAGCCGCAGAAGCCGGGCAGCTCTTTCCCTTCCAGGAGCTAGCTTATACTCTCTAGGAGCTCCGGAGGCCACTGCGTCTTGGTGACTACCTCCTGACAGAGCTCGGAGCCAGAAATCCAGCCCGACGGGGTGCGAGGCGGTTCCCCAGCGAGGGATTTCTGTGCGGAGTGACTCTGGCATCTGGGAGTCAGACGGTCATAGAAACGCAAAACGTTAGGGCCAGAACGGACTTCACGGCTCCTCCAGTTATAATACTTATCGTTCATTCCTTCCTGAGTCTGTCCCCTTCCGCTGGTCTCACTGACAGAGGGGAGATGTGGTTGTGGGAGTGAGAATACAAAGGGTTTGTTGTTGTGGGTGATGGTTTTTACTCTCAACCTGTCTTCTGGAACCTCCAGAGTCTAGAAGGAGACACGGGCATGTAAACAAGTAACTATATAAAACTGATTTGCATGTGAAATGGAATAAAATAACTGTTTGTAAGTCGAAGAGGATAGTCCCTGGAACGGTATAATGCTGTGCATTTCGAAAATAAGTGTGTGTATTAGGCCAAATTAGTGGCACAGAAGAAAGAGGAAACTAATGGAGCAGAACAGGAAGCAAAACGAGCTTGCAGGTGTACAAGGGGAAAGGAGCAAGAGAAAGGACTTTCCAGGATATGGAATAAAAGATTAAAAGCAGGAATGGGGTGAGATATTTTGGTCACCCAGAGAACTGGGCAGATCACCATGGCTAGAGAATAGAATATGTGACAGGGGCACCAGCACTTGCTGTTCCTGGATCCCTAACCAAGGAGTTTGGGCAATGTGATCAAATTTACACCTAGAAATGTTATCGTGGCAGCAGTGTGGAGGATAGACTGGAAGGAGTTGAGATTACAGGCAGGGAGACCAATTAGGAGACTACTGCAAGAGTCCAGGGAAGAGATAGAGAGGGCCTGAATCAAGGTGGTAGCCATGGAAATGCAGAGAAGGGGACAGAATACTTAAGTTGAATTGATTTTTTAAATTCATTCATTCATTCATTTAACAAATTCTTTCGAATGCATTCTTTGTGCCAAGGGTTTCCTCTAGGGACTGGATATAATAATAATGAACACAAAGTCCCCACCCTCGTGAAGCTTATAGAACAAAGATACATACAGAAAGTGGGAGATCTAGTGTATACAATTTGGATGAAATGGAGATTGAGAATGGAACATCACATCACACTACAAATTTTAAAGCCTTACAAACATCACAAACATAAAAATCGTAAAATAAGTGCTTTAATTAATTAACTGCCTGATGCACCTCTATAATAAATTTTTCCTAAATTGTTGGCGTTATATTCTTGAACTGTCTCCTCATGTTAATTTTGTAATTTAAATTTTTCTAGAAAGAATAAGAAGGTAATATAGTCCTTCCTCCAGCATGCCTGATCAAAACATTTTATTTTTTTCTTCCTTTTTATGTTTTTTTAAATTGAGTTCATAATAGTTTACATCAATGTGAGATTTCACTTGTACATTATTTCTTGATTGTCACCACATAAGTGCTCCCCTTCACCCCCTGTCTGATCAAAACATTTTAAATTGTTGATATTTGGGTAAACCTCTACCAAGTTTCTTTCAATTATGAGCTACAAGATTTTAGGATGTTTTAAATTTTTTGTATGGAGACTAATCTGAGAATCTCTTATATTGATGAATATATTATAATTGCTACTTTGGAGTCATTGGCTAGTCATTCAACATTTAGGTCACCTCTGGATCTGTTTCTATGTAATGCTTGGGAAGGTGGCTTACGTGTCTCATTTCTTGCATGTTTTGCATGTCCAATAATTTTGTATTATATGTGGACATTATAGATGATGAATTTTAAGGCCTTTGGAGTATGATTTCTTCCTTCAATGAATTTTGTTCTAGCAGGTAGTTAATTTACTGATAGTTTTCCTTGATTCTTAGGTGGTTTGGTTTTTAGCTTTATTAGGGTGGATATAGGAAGTCCATACTCAGGATATGGTTCTTACTCCTAAGGCATGACCTTTTGGTGTTACAGTTCAATTCTCAGCATATAATCAAAGTCTTTCCACTTTGACTGGGCTAGAACTCCAATAAATCGCAGTTCTGAGTAACTTGTATAGTCTTCCTACTTCCTCTGCCATGACTGAAAGCAGAAGTCCAACGCTTTGTCCTGGAAGGGACCTTTAATTTCCTATGTTCTAGAGTTCGTTTGACCCCAACCACATTAGCTCTTTAATACCTTATTGCATTAAGGTCTCCTCCAACTTCCTGCAAATTGGAGTGTGCTAGTTTCATTACTATTCTTAGATTGTAACATATAAACCTATGGTAAGCCATAAAACAAGCCTCAGTAAATGTCAAATGTTTGAAATCATACAGAGTATGTTCTCCAATCACACTGGAATGAAATTAGAAATCAATAATAAAGGGAAATTGGAAATTCACAAATACATGGAAATTAGTGTGCCCTTAAGTATCCAATGAGTTAAAGAAGAAATTTCAAGGGAAATTAGAAAATACTTTGAGATGAATGAACACAAAATCACAACATACCAAAATGTATGGAATGGAATTAAAGCAGTGCTTCTGGGGAATTTATTTCTGTAAGTACCTGTATTCAAAGGAAAGATCTCAAATCAATAGCCTAGCCTTTCACCTTAAGAAACTAGATAAAGAACAAACTAAACTCAAAGCAAGTAGAATGAAGGAAAATAGTGTCTGTACCTAAGAGGATTCGCACTTGTCTCTGACTAGTCCATATTTTAAACTCAATTCATGATTTAAGACTTTTTGCTCTGTCTTGGTTTTGTGAATCTGGACTGTAAATCTGTGCAAAGTTGCTGTGGTTATAATTCTCAGGCACTGTTCTCTTCTGTTGTGTTCAGTACCAAGGCAACTTCCCTTACTAGTTGCTACCTCTAGTATGCTAGAGGTAGATATGGAGTAGCATTATTTTTGGTTCATCACTGCCGCAGCCTTTGTCGGTTCTGGCTTTCTCAAAGGAGGGTCTCTTATCTGATGCTCACCTTAGGCAGGCCTGGGATTTTGTCTTCTATTTCCAAGACTATCACAATTGAAGATCAAATTTTGTTTGGCAAAATTGAAGGGTAAAAATCAGTTTCAATGTTTGAACTACCTCTCTGAATTTCCATGTCCACTTAGATTGTAACTTAAAACTCCTTACTATCTTAGCAGCTCTGCAAAAGTGTTAATAAATTACTGTAAAATAACATATGATATATAGGTTCTTTTCAATAAGAGAGTCAGTGTGAATAACTAAGCTTCATATTTGAGAAATGGGAAAATGTCCATTCTCTTATAAACCTGCTGAAATAATGTTTTCATCCCCACCATTCCATTAAAACTTCTCTTGACCTCCACTTTCCCAACTCTAATGATAAATTATCAGTCCTCAACAGCCCCTTGGCAGCATTTCACATATTTGAATACTGCTCTTTCCTTCAAATACGCTCTTCCCTGGGGCACCACTCTCTCTCATAGTTCTCCTACTATACTGTTTATTGCTTCTAGTCTCCATTATGAATCCTACCCATCTTCCCGTTCTCTACATGTTAGAATGTCAAAGTATAGTCACTGATTCTTGTAATGGATCTGTTGTTCAGTGATCGGTTCCTTCCATCACAACTGAGGCACTCATTCCCCTAGCTGCTTAGAGTGAGGGAGCTGATAGCTCTTAGCTGAGACTCTCTTGAGGCATATCCCTCAGCCATCAGTGACAACTGCGTAGCTCAAGATCATGTCCCCAAACATGGCATCCCACATTCAGTGACCAGTCACTGTTGAGATGTATATGCAACTTTGACTCCTTGCCTCAAGACAAGGCAACTCTGAAGGACAATTGCTTTGGTTCCAGAGCTCCCTGTAGTACTAGTTGATGCCTTTGTTCAACTTCTCCCTCTGCCCAATATTGCTTCTCTAGGGAACTCATCGATAAATTTCTTGCATATAAATCTCAAAATCTCTTTCCTGGAAAACTGAACCTACATTTGATATTGGAAGTGGTCCTAGGAAGTAGTCTCAAAACTAGTATTTTGAATTTGGGTTACGTGATGCCAACTGGCAATGAAGATCCAAGCCCTAAAGATAGGTAAAGAACCTATATCCTTGACAGGAGGTGCAGTATGATTGTTAAAACTTTCAATGGTGGTAAAGTAGGATGGGATAATGGTGGAAGGTAATGAACTTGTAGGTGAATTATTTCAGGTGGGGTGGGTCTGGGATTTTATTTTATTCTACTTACAAACGAAAATCCAGCCTGTTAATGTTTCGTGGATGATCTCAAAAGACACAATGTCTATGGTCAGAAACAAAGGAATTTATTATTCATAGATAGCAAGCAACTTGAACATTCATATATGTGTCAGTTTCACTTGCCCCCAAATCTGAAAGAAGTTACAAGGTATATTCAGATGGATGATATGCAAACAATGAGTCTGTGTTGCATGTAGGGGAAACCTAAGCTTAGGGAATCTGCCACTTCTGTAGAATGCAGTTAAGTAAGCTTGCTTTTTGTCCAGGGGAAAATGTTACCTCATCTCTCAAGTTTACAACCTGCATAAACAACTGTGAGAAAGGGCTTGGATAAAAGAATGGTCAGGGTTTTGAATTCTTGGCACATACTGCAAGACGTGTAGGAATGTAAAAGGACCTAGAAGGAATGTTTTTGCCAATGAGGTTTTTGAGAATTTGAGTAGAAATAGTATTTATGAGGACTTTGGAATAGTATAGCTGTTGTCGGGGGCCACTGAAGCATTAGAAGTAGGCAATGGGTTTCTGAGAGTGATTAACCACCAATATAAAGCAAAGTGTAAAAGCCAAAGGGCCTCCTCAGCACCATAAAAAGTCTAATCTTCAGCCCGAGAGCAGAAGAGGCTGAGGATCAGACCCAGGACTTAGTTGAAAGAGCAGCAGAGCTCCAAACAAGGTTATTATCAAATCCAGTAGGCATGCTAAGCCACTGCCAGATTGCTGACTGGGAAGGATTGGAATTCTAAGACTTAGGATAGGGATATCTAAGTCAAAGCACTTGAGAGTCTTGAATCCTCAGACTTCTCTGAACCCTGTGGGCCTGCAGAAGTACCCCATGCCTCCCTATTAAAAGCCAGTGTTTCCTGCTTGCTTGAAGATGATGTAGAGCCTCTGCTTTGCAAGTCATCACGTGCCCGCCCAGAATCTACTCCACTTCTCCACCTGGCCACCAGGTCAATTCCTAGGTTTACACCACAGCAAAACCTGGCTGGGGAAGTACTGGGGGGATGCTGAGGGAGGAAAGAAGCTATCTGCTAAAGGAGCTATAGGACTGAGCCAACATGTATTGTCAGGACCAAGGAATGTATATATGAGATTGGATCTGAGAGGGCTGGATCAAAGAGGGGGATATAAATTTGGATAAGGAAGAGTGTATCAAGATAGAGGCACTCTCCAATGATATAGGATTTAACACCTTGGCAAGGGCCCTGGGAGATGCTGCTAATACACAGATAGGTTAGCACTTGAAAGCATTGAAAAAGCAAAACCTTTTACACAAAATGATACATACTCTATGATTCCAATTATATGAAGTTCAAGAGAGACAAAACTAAACTTTGGTGAAAAAAAAGAAGAGTTGTTGCCTCTGGGAGTGGTGGGGGAAATTACTGGGGAGTGGTATAAGGGAACTTCCTGGGATGATGACAATGTCCTATATTTCAACAGAGGGTGGGTTACACAGCGGTATGCATTTATGAAAACTTGAATGTACGAGTAAGATATATACATTTTGTTATATGTAAATTTTACCTCAGAAGAAAAGAGCCATAAACAAATATTGAAATCTAGTTAATGACACGCACACTGAAGTATTTAGGAGGAAGAGTACTGATTGATGTCTGCAATTTACTTTAATATGTATTAAGAAAATATAAATATATTAATAAAAATGAGATGGATTGATGAATGGATGGAGCAATAGCCATGCAATAAAGCAAGTATAGTAAGATGGTCATCGTAGAATCTAAATTATGGGTAAATGGTATACTTTAAAATTCTTTCAACTTTTCTGAATGTTTGAAAATGTTTGTAATAGGATGTTGGGAGAGAGAAGTAAAGGTTCACAGTATGTGAGGCAGACATACAGGATTGCTACTGCAGATGGTGGAGGCAGGGAGCAAGAGGCTCACAGAAGTGTGCATGCTAGAGTGGACATACTATGTGAGGAAGGCCAGAAAAACCCATGATCTGACTATATTCTAAGGGAGTGATGGAGAATCCTCTATTAACCAAACTGAGAGGGAATATGCTGATGAAAGGGGACCAGCATCATTAAGAAGCTCTGTGGTGAGAGCCAGCTGTAGACCAGGGCTGATGGCAGGTGTATTAATTGTCTAGAGCTGCCAAAACAAAGTAGCACAAACGAGGTGGCTTAAACTACAGAAATTTATTGTCTCACACTTCTGGAGCTCCAAGATCAAGGTGTCGGCAGGGGTGGTTCCTTCTCAGGGTGATGAGGGAAGGATGTGTTCCAAGCCTCTTTCCTAGGTTCTGGTGGTTCGCTGAGAACCTTTAGTGTTCCTTGGTTTGTTGATTTCTGCCTTCATTTTTGCATGGTGTTCTCCCTATGTGCTTATCTCTGTGTCCAAATTTCCCCTTTTAATAAAGACAAGCCATTAGGAGTCCACCCTACTCCAGTATGACCTCATCTTAACTCATTACATCTGCAATGACCCTATTTCCAAAAAGGCAACATTCTAAGGTACTAGGGAGTTAAAACTTCAACACATGGATTTTCAAGGGATATAATCCAATCCATAACAGGAGGAGATGCTGTAACAGAACATGTTTCCCTAATTGCAATTAAGGATACCAATATAACAGGCCAGGCAGTTATGCTTAAACTTAGAAGCAGTTTGGCAGAAATAGCTATAGAAAACATCATGTTTAGAGTAGCAGCCAGAGGGAACTGACCCTCAGAAAACTATGGAGATGGTTGATAGAACATAGCTTCCCAACGGTAAAACAGATGGGTACCCAACAAAGGTGTTTTTTGATATATATAACTTAAAAAAAATCAAGAATAAGTGATAAGGCTGAGAGCAATCACCTCAATAAAAAGTCTCAAGTCATTATGCAGTTTCTGGACCT